ATTTATATATTTATATACACGTGTCGTTTAAATACGCAGAAATTTAGATGTATATTTTGGATGATTAAATGAACGAGATAAGGGAATGTCGGAGACTCGAGCCATGCTTGATGCAATCTCTCCTGTCGTGCTCCAGGAAGATTATTTGTATATTTGCCAATGGCGTTGGAGGGTGTCGCCGTTGCAGTCCGACCTGCATCCATCGAGAGAATAGGAACATCATCTCTCTGGAGTAGCAGTCGTGAGGAATCGAGAGAATACATGTATATATGTATATTGTAATATACGTATATATGTGTATCATTGTATTGTTGACGTGTTATTCTAAACACGTTATTTGCGATAAATATCACGTGCCTCGATAGTCGAAGGGATAAGATGCCTGCCCGGTGAGCAGGAGATCCAGGTTCGATTCTTGGCTGAGGTGGTATTTTTTCGCAAAATAATTACGAGTTTTCACGACTGGTTCGTGGTCGGGTCCCACCGTGACGCACACCCTCCCTTCTTATTTAATAATGTTATGTCGTCTGACTCAAATAAGTGCTATACATAATAAGAAAGTAATCATTTTATAAATCATTTATGGAAAATTTAGCTGAGATCCAGAGATTTTTCATAATATATACAAAAATTCTTTTAAATTAATTTTTTTACATAATAGAAAGAGAGAGGAGGAAGGGAGAAGAAGAGAGAGGAGAGAGAGAGGGAAAGAGAGAAGGGGAGGGAAAGGAGTGGAGAGGGACGGGAGGGAGGGAAGGCGGGAGAGAGGGGGGAGGCTTTACGAAGGGCTAAGACTCGAAATGGGATTACTATCCATTACGGAAGATGTATTATTGGTGAGTCAAATTTTTCTAGGAAAGTTTTTTGGTTCTTTTCCTTTAATCTTTCTGGGCTTAAGTATACGTATCATGTTTCCGTTTCCTATGGATAGAAAAAGACCTGTCACAATGGACAACATGATAGAATGTATTCGATAAAATTCCAAAAATTCTGTCCAAAGGTATTTTTATCTTTCTCTCTTTTCTTCTTGTACATTGCGTTGCTGATATTGTAGATGTAGCCACGAATGATAACTTATTATTGGAATTTCACCACGAGCGAATTAGCTGTGAATCGCAAATTGGAATATCGAGTAAAATCAGTATGATCTTTTACTCAAGACTCTCTTTTCTCGCCGCCATTGCACATGAATGCCAGACTTCTCAGAGTACGACCATTTCCAGTGCCGTAAATTTCATACTCGATAGAAATGAAAAATAAAAAGTTATTAATTGCATTCTTAATCGAATGGAAACTAGTACTTATTTGTTTATTTTGCATTCATCTCTTTCTATTATAGTTTGGAAATATAATTTTTCCTTGTGTTTTTTCTATTTCAATTCACATATGTAGAAAATTTTTTATATAAGAACATATAACTATATCTTAAGTACGCGGAAAGATTTTAAGAAGTGAGTCACACAAATTCAATCATATGTTCGGCTTAATTCAAAGTTACAAGGTGTCAAAGTTGAAAAAAATTTCATTTTTTTCAAAAATTTTGAAAATCATGCGGGCTATTTTGATGAAACTTTGTTTGAAGAACATGAAGGCTCATTTTTTGATACCATACATCATTTTTTTATTCAATCATGGGCGAACAATGATCCTTTTTAAGGAAAAAAATGATACGCCACTGATTTTTTCATGATACAGAAGATAATTTAGCATAAAAAAAGGTCTCCTCAATGTTTTAGAATGAGTCATTTTCAAGGAAAAAAATAAATTTAAGTTCGTGGAGTACAAATGAACAAAGTCTACTAAATACACTAAAAGATTTTAAGGGATAGTTCCTTACACAAATTCAAGACGAAAACTTCATATGATCATATGTTCAAATGGCTTAGTTTTAAAGATACAGGGTGTCAAAATAAAAAAATTTCTTTTCCAAAAATTTTGAAAATCTGTATCTTTGAAATAAGTCGTTTCGGACATATGACCATATAAAGTGTAAATAAATAAATAAATAAGTAAATATATATATATATAT